CAGGTCCTCGCACTGCCTTCCACTAACATGATCAATACCCGGGGTCAGACCTACCTGTTTCATCGCAACGTGCTCAATTCATCTCCTCATACGGATCTATCAACACATACAGAGTCTTCAGCACAACTGGACCGCCTCACCAGGCCTTCAGTTCATCTGGACCACTCTCAGAACCTTCAGCATGTCCGGACCGCCCTCCAGGGCCTTCAGCCTGTCTGGACCGTTCTCTGAGCCTTCGGCCTGACTGGTATGCCCATCGGCCTTCAGTCTCCCCGGACCGCTCCGACTAACATACATCAACTCGAACTCTCTTTCCCGGGAATCTCTCCCGAACATACTGTTCTAGCCCTCCAGGGGTTCCGAACTCTAACTCCATTCCCATACTCTGATCCCGGCCTAATCCCAGGCCTCTCATTAACCAATCACCTTTCCAGGAACCCCAGTCTGTACCCCGTCCCATCTGTCTGCCACTTACTCATACCAGCCCACACTCTTGGCTGACTGAAACACTGCTGACTTCCAAACAACTAATCAACCTCAAGTGCTTGTCGATCCTCCTGCGAATTTTCCAATTCTCCCCATTTAGAGCACTGACTACCAACCACTGGTGACCCAACCGGCATCACTTAAACATTCTTACTCAACAAATTCTCTTATACTTGATCTGATTCCGAAACGAGCAACCTCCACAAAATCACTTATCCGACATCTCACATCTTGAACTCTAAGGGAGTTCGACTCTTCGCTGAACACTTCTCAAATCGCAAATGCTATACCCGACAACAAGATCAATCAACCAAAATCTGACCAACAATCCCTTGGATGCTAACTGAATCCGACCCCTAACTATCGACCCCTCAATAATACCATAACCCGAAGATCGAACGGATACAATACCAAAAATCATGCGAACAAGACTAGCAGATATAATACTCCATAACAACCATAAGATAACAAGATATCAAGAAGGAAACATACCCACAGCTGTATCCGGCTCTGCCCTGACCTCCTCTGCTATAAGCTGAAAAGCACGCCCCTGAGCCCTCGGGGGCTCTGCTCCACCCTGACCTCCACCTGTAATCCTCAAAGTGGCCGGTGCTGGAGCCTGCACCGGTCCTGCAGTAAGCTGTGGATAGTTGGCCCTCATGTGACCAACCTGATGACACTGATAACAAATCCTCATATCCTGAACTGGGGCTGACTGACGGCAATCCCTCGCATAATGCCCCTCTCTCCCGCACTTGCGGCACGCACCACCGGATCTACAAACCCCAGTGTGACCCTTTCTGCACTTCCCACAAGTGCGGCTGCTCTGATCTCCTAACCTAGTATCGACGGTCTTGGACCGTTTCGGCGCCGGCTGCGACTGTGCCGGGGCCTGCCTCTGCTCCCTCATCTGTAACTCAATCTCCAACTCACGCCGTCGAGCGGCCTCCTGCAACTCTAGCAAGGTCTCGCACCTCTGCGTAGACACAAACTGCCTGATATCCCTCTTGGGCATACTCAGATATTGGTACATCTGAGCCTGCTCCGAAGCAAACTCCGGGCAAAACATCGCCCTCTCAGTAAACATCCTGGTGATCTCCGTCACCGACTCTGTATCTTACTTCAGCTCCAAGAACTCCTGAGCCAACCTCTCCCTCTCAACCCGCGGAACGTAACGGGTACTGAACATCTCCCGGAACTGATCCCACGAAACCACAGCCCGCTGCGCATCCGAATATGACCTCGTGGTCAATCTCCACCAATCCTTCGCCCCGAGCCTCAACAGGTTTAGAGCACACCTCACTCTCTGATCAGCAGGGCATGAACACGTGAAGAAACATCCCTCCACATCAGATAACCATCGCATAGCAACAATCGAGTCATGAACTCCATCGAAGGTAGGGGCTTCGTATTATCGAAGTCCCGATACTGAAAACCTCTACCGGCTCCTCATGCCGCTGCTACAGCCGCTGTAGCTGCCGCGGCAGCCGTCTCTGCAAGAGCTGCATAACGCTCATCAAAATACTCGACCATGGCGGTCTTGATTGACCCAAACAGTTCCGGCAACTCGGCCCGAAACATAGCAGCAACCTCATCATGCAGGATCTCACGAATCCTCGCATCCAACTTGTATGTGCTCATCTGATCGATAACCTCGGGTGGTGCTGATCCACCCTGACCACCCTCTCCGGCTCCCAATCCTGACCCGGATCCACTCCCAGCATGCCTCGTAACCACCATACTGCAACCACCGCAAAACATCAGACACTTTTCACTAACCCGAGAACCGACTCTCAACCCAGCCCTAGGGGTTGTGACTTCCTTGATATGCGTATGGGTCCTGTGCTTTCAGTAGTACGAGCCCATACTACCTTCCAAACCTACCCATATTTATATCAAGTATCACCACAACACCCTAGCGAAGAACAGGCATAACAAGCACTCAACCCTCACTCCTAGAGGAACACTGGAAATCTCATACAGAAAGAAACCCTAGGCTAGCAGGCATCATAAATCAGGCAACTCTATCATGCAATTCCTGAAGATCCCTAGCCTAGTACTAGCATGCTGTTCTATCATATCTCATAAACAAATAACTTGTATGGTATTTTGGGGCTACTTACTGGCTCCGGCTGATCGTACCTCCGCGTCCTCCTTTATTCATTTTTGAAAACCATTTTAAATTCTCTTTTAAAAACTCTCCTTGATTTGAGACTGGATTCACACGAATGTTCCTCCAATTCACTCAAACCAAGGCTCTGATACTGATGTGACATGGACCTCCGACGGCTCTTCTGGTCTTCTGCTGCGGCGGAGATCTGGACATCACAGTGCAAACCCGTTAGAGCCGCCCCAGGGACTGTGCCCCGGGAGCGGGCTCCGACGGTCAAGTTAGATCAGCTAGAAGATCTGAGATGGTCCTCCATAGCTGGAGAGAACCATCTTGGTGCTGGTGGCTGACGGCGGCGGGTGGCGGCTGAGCCACCCGGTCGGAGTATAGTGGCGGCTGAGCCATGGGGGAAGATCTAGGGAAGGGTCCCCCTCCATGGAGGAGGTATTGTTCATTATATAGGGGACAATTAGGTCAGGCCTTGGGCCTGCCCAAATCAGGCCCAACAAGCAAGGAGTTGGGCAAGGCCGCCCGGAGGCGCGGGGCGGGGCTGGCGAGCGCGCCCCAGGCAGGGCTGGCGGGCGCGCACCAAGAGAGGATGGAAAGGGAGTGCCAGGCGAGGGAGCGCCCGGCCGAGCCGGCAGGAGAGTCCCTAGCAGGGCTGGCAAGGGAGCGTCAGGCAAGGCTGGCAAGGGAACACCAGGCAGGGCTGGCAAGGGAACGCCAGGCAAGGCTGGCAGGAGTGCGCCAGGCCAGGCTGGCGCGCTAGAGCAGTCTAGGCCATGCCAGTGGACCATATCTCATCAAGTCCCCCCAGTCTGATGGTATTGGTACGCGACCAATGACATCGGACTGGACTAAGCCGTATAAACCAACAGGAGAGTCCCCAACGAGGCTAGCAAGGGAATCCCCGACAAGACTTGGCAAGGGAACGCCAGGCAGGGCTGGCAGGAGCGCGTCAGGACAGGCTGGCGCGCTAGATCAGTCTAGGCCATGCTAATGGACCATATATCATCAAGTCCCCCCAGTCTGGTGTTATTGGTACGCGGTCAATGACATCGGACTGGACTTAGTCATATAAACTGTGCGTCGTCAAGTCCCCCTGGTCTGATGCGATTGGGTTGCTGACAATCGGATTGGACTAGATAAAGCACCAAAGCATTTAAATAACAAAGAGAAATGACCGAACCTCGCCCACGAGAGTCGTGGGGTTGTGCGACTAGCCAAACACTGCCTGAGTTGACTTGATACTCCCTCATTGAGAGGAGTGCGAGCCGGTCGGTGAGATGCAACGTAACTGTTGTTGCGATCATGCGGACCGAGGCTGCTACAGAGTGTTACGCAACACTGATGTCGGTGGAATGTCGGACCGGGGTAACTAAGAAGCGTAAGCTTGCCATTCAGTCCCTGATACTGTTATCCGACGTGATTGTTGTGGTAGCCATGTGAGATGGGATGTCACCAGTAACCATCTACATAGTCTGCCTTGCGGCGTACCAACCCTATCCCCCCCCCTTTTCTTAGAGGAGACGAGGAATAGATTCCTAGAGCTGGGCGACTAGGTTGCTAGCGAGGGTCACGTAGTAAGACTATTGTCGATAGCCAGACAACAGAATTCTTGAGGAACAGGTAGTGAGGCTATAGGTAGGAAACATGCAGTGCGACTGTTGTCGAGAGCCAGGCAGCAGAGGTGCTAAGGGATAAGCGGTGAGGCCAGGGGTATGGGTTGCGCAGCAAGACCGTTTCCGAGAGCTAGGAAACAGAGATGCCGTGGGGTACGCGGCGAGGCTACAGGTAGGATTACGCAGCAGGACTGTTTCCGAGAGCTAGGGAACAGAGGTGATGTGGGATACGCGACGAGGCTATAGGTAGCAGGGCAGCTGTCGGGATGACCTTCTTGCTGGAGAGTATCCTCACTATAGCAGGTTGTAATGCGGGTAACACTTCATCGATCGTCCGAGCACCAGAGAGACGTGATGACTGTGAGATAGGAAATATCAAGATCATGGTGTTGGTCGTGGAATAAGCTTGTGATGCGCGACTTAGGAGAATAGCTTGGGCTTAGCAGCCAATGATCATGGAGGTGTCGTGCGGAAAAGCCTCGCGCGGAATGGATCGGGCTTGGCTGCTAGTGATCGTAGATAGATCACGTGAGAGAGCATCGCGTGGAATGGTCGCCACGTTGCTATACTGGAGTCTGGCTGAGAAGCCAGGCGACTCGAGGCAAGGGTACTGAACCTCGCATGTGGAGCTTGCCGCTATAATGGAGTCGGGCTGAGAAGCCAGGCGACTCGAGGCGAGGGTACTGAACCTCGCATGCGGTGCTTGCCGCTATAGTGGAGTCGGGCTGATATGCCAAGCGACTCAAGGTGAAGGTACTAAACCTCGCATGCGGTGCTTGCCGCTATAGTGGAGTCGGGCTGAGAAGCCAGGCGACTCGAGGCGAGGGTACTGAACCTCGCATGCGGTGCTTGCCGCTATAGTGGAGCCGGGCTGAGAAGCCAGGCGACTCGAGGCGAGGGTACTGAACCTCGCATGCGGTGCTTGCCGCTGTAATGGAGTCGGGCTGGGAAGCCAAGCGACTCAAGGCGAGGATACTAAACCTCGCATGCGGTGCTTGCCGCTATAGTGGAGTCGGGCTGAGAAGCCAAGCGACTCAAGGCGAAGGTACTAAACCTCGCGTGCGGTGCTTGCCGCTATAGTGGAGTCGGGCTGAGAAGCCAGGCGACTCGAGGCGAGGGTACTGAACCTCGCATGCGGTGCTTGCCGCTGTAATGGAGTCGGGCTGGGAAGCCAAGCGACTCAAGGCGAAGGTACTAAACCTCGCATGCGGTGCTTGCCGCTATAGTGGAGTCGGGCTGAGAAGCCAGGCGACTCGAGCCGAGGGTACTGAACCTCGCATGCGGAGCTTGCCGCTGTAATGGAGTCGGGCTGGGAAGCCAAACGACTCTAGGCGAAGGTACTAAACCTCGCATGCGGTGCTTGCCGCTATAGTGGAGTCGGGCTGAGAAGCCAGGCGACTCGAGGCGAGGGTACTGAACCTCACATGCGGTGCTTGCCGCTGTAATGGAGTCGGGCTGGGAAGCCAAGCGACTCAAGGCGAAGGTACTAAACCTCGCATGCGGTGCTTGCCGCTATAGTGGAGTCGGGCTGAGAAGCCAGGCGACTCGAGGTGAGGGTACTGAACCTCGCATGCGGAGCTTGCCGCTGTAATGGAGTCGGGCTGAGAAGCCAAGCGACTCGAGGCGAGGGTACTGAACCTCGCATGATTGGGCGTAGCACCCCACGGTCTATGCGTCTAGCTCGCGTGATCACTATGGGTTGAAGTGGAATGGTACCTGATGCTTTGCTGCATCGCTAGTCGTAGTAATCTGATGCCTCGCTGTCTTAACTGTTTGCGGAGAGCCATGTGGCGGTGCTACTTAGGGCTTGATAGTGTAGCTATTGTCAAGTGGTGCGTAGCAAGACTGCCGTCAGGAATTGGTCAGCAGGGCTGCTAAGGTCCGGGGAGCGAGCTGTTAGTGATAGGTGGGCAACGCGACCACTGAAAGCTGGGCAACGAGACTACCGAGGGTTGAACCACGGGGCTGCTCTTTCAATCCGGAATACCAACGTCACCTCGGGGATACACCATCATTCATGGTGTCAGCTCTTTGTGTACTTGAACTCTTTCCCTTGGGAATACAATCACTTCTACATAGTGTCGTACCAACCCTATTCCCCCCCCCCCCTCCCCATCTTTTTTTTCTTTAGAGGAGGCGAAGAAAGGGAAAAAATGGATGTATAGCTGCTGAAAGCTGATATACATAACTGCTGGAAAGAGCTAGGCGATGCAAGCGTTAACAAGAGCTGTGTAGTGCGGCTGCCGAGAGCTGGACAGCACGACTGCGAGATGTTGGCCAACACGACTGATGATGGCTGAGCAGCGAGACTAGCGGGGCCGGTCAACATGGATGGTGAGAGCGGAGTAGCTAGATTTCCTGGGGCTGGTCAACACGACTGCTAATAGCCAGGCACCGTAGTTGTTGAATGTTATTTTGGAATACGTCACGAATAGTAGTAGTGTACTACTCTTCTCCCTCCGCCCTTTTTTTTTCTTTGAAAACTCCTTGCGTATTCGATACGTATTTGTTGAGTGGGGCTTGTGATACGTCTTTGTTAAATGGGTGTTTTGTCTTGTAATATTGGCCCATTTACTGGTGAGATGGCCAATAAAATATCAATTTGATACAAAATCCAAAGATAAATGTGTTTGGAGCGCACTTGTAATTTATTAGCCCATTCAATTGTTGAGGTCGTCCATTAAAATGTATAGATAAAAACCCAAGTTTAATTTGTCGGGCCCAAGCTGGAAAATTGGCAGCCTAAGAATAAGCTATCTTGAACAAGCCCAATATAATAATGGATCATGATTAAATGAAACCCACTAATCTTATAGAAGCCCGTTTCCAATACAGGATTCTTATCCCAAGTCATTTCCCTTGGTACACTATGGTACATACAACTTATGGGGCCCACCCTTATTTGCTCCTCCGTTTTAGGGATCCGCTTTTTACCTCTTCCACTGCCAGGGAAAAGGAAATCGACAACTACAGCTTGCAAAGACTCTTTCTTCTTTTTTCATCATTTTTTTTTTTTTTGTGTTCCTCACCGTAAATTGCCACCGGTAAGGGGTATTAGTGTTGCAGTTGGGCCGACGACACGGACCTGTGGGGTCTATGCAACTGGTGGAGGCGATGTGGCTCTGGTTGGTGGCGATGAGCAGGGACATGGAGGTTTGCCGTCTATTGTAGATGAAGATCAAAGCAGCAGGTGGAAAAAGGCGTTGTTCGGATTCCGTCTTTCCAATGGGACTGGTCTGCTGGATCGTGTTTGAAGGTCGTCGGCTATGACAGATGGTTCGTCGGCTATGGTTGCCGATGTTGGAAGCGGAACATCAATAGAGACTGGTGCTTGATCTTTGAAGATGTAACGACCGGCGATGGGAGGAGCAAGCCTCGCCGGCAGCGCAGGTCTATTTGGGCGGTGTGGCTTTGTGAAGGAAGATCGGGTGGAAGGGGTGGTCGATTGGCGACGCAGCGTCCGATCCATAAGACAGGGGGCCCCCAAGGCCTCAATTGCTACCGGTGGTGGTCCCTCGTTGCGTTGCGGATTGACAGTCACCACCCAATGACGAAGCGGGAAAACGGAGGTTGCGATTGAAGGGGACCGGTAGCTGTAGTCTTTGACTGGTGAAGTTGAGTTGGTGGGTCGTCGGACTGGTGGTGTTGACCGGAAAAGGCAGCGGTGTTGTAGTAGATCGTCAACTGAAGATTGGTTGGAAGAGATGAACACGGGGGGGCCACCTATATTGGACTTTATTGTATATCGAAAATCGGACCAAGCGGGTCCCACCCAAGAATGCTTTTGTTTTTGACTATCGACAGCTCTATCATTTGTTTGGTGCACTATGCGCCCTTTCCCTTTTTTTTTTTTTTTTTTAGATGGTGTTTTTTTTAGATGGTGACAGCAAGCAGTGTAAATGAGAGCTGTAAAATTTTTATATTGTGCATATATATTTACTCTTTATATGCATATATTTTTTGAAAACCATTAACTGAAATGGTACACTGATGTGAAATGCAATTTTCTCAGTGTTAACTTAGATGTTTTTGAATGTACAACTTAAACAAACTTGTTTACAGAAATGTACAAGCCGTATGGCTGTGTGTACAACTTAAACAGCTCAAAGTGGGTTAAGACCCATCAAATCTTCTCCTCCCTTTTTTTTTTTAAGGTTCTTTGAAATGTACAAGCCATAAGGGTGTATGTACAAATAGTTGTTGCAGTGTGAGTGAAGATGCTCACAGAAAATCTTTACTAAAAACGATTTTCTGATAATATATGTACTGAAATGGGAGAAAAACTCATAAAAATTTCTTTTTTTCTGAAACAAGCCCCCAAAATAAAAACAAAAACGGATTTAAGAAGGTTTTTGCAAGCTTGGGGAGTATTTGGGTGAAGAAAATCGTATACATCCATGGATTAGAACTAAAACGAAATGGATCTACAGATCCATAGATTTGTGAAGTAAACTTGGACAGATCTTGGAAAACCAAGAAGATCTGATAAATTGTCGTTCTCTTTTCAACTTGTTCAACAAGAGCATGAACAAGGAACAAATCTAAAAATATTTTCGTTTTCTTTCTCTAAATTTTTGAAAAGAAACACCATGTAAACAACTTCAAAGGAGTCTTGCAAAGAAAATCATAGACTGAAGGTGATTTCTTTGCAACATAAACTGAAAACAAATTAAATACCCACCAAAAAATTCTTCAGCTCTCAAGTTGGTTCCATAAAACACTAAAATATGAACGTAAATAGAATAAGGCTCATAAAAACCTCCTTTATCCCCGAAAATTTAAATAAAGACGGGTTTGAGCTGGTGTTTTGAAACTTGAGAGATGATTAAGTAAACAAAAAACATTCAAATCTAGAGATCTAAGCTAAAAATGAAGTAGATCAACATATCTGGAAAAAAAAGTCATCAGATCCAAAGATCTGAAACATAGCTAATCAGATCTGGATATATCTTTGCCAAGATCCAAACGAATCTGAACTAAGGAATGTAGAACTGAACAGATCTGAGCAAACCTTAGATGAGAACACATCAGATCTGAAGGGTTTGCACTGGACTTTGCACCCTCTTGGTCAGCAAAGGAAGGTATAAAGTTCTGAACTTTCTTCCTCTTTCCTTCTAGATCTAGGTTATGGAAGTTTGAACCTTTTTAAGTCCAAAGGTTGAGTCTTGATCTTGTAAATCGGTTTTGGAGTTTGGATTGCCATCCTTAAGGCTCAGAAACATTTTTCTAGCAATAAAGTTGCAATCTTTGTGACCTATATGGAACCATGCATGAGATCTAGTTAGCTCCATGGAAGTAGAATGTTATTTTTGGAAGTTTGAACCTTTATGAGACTTGTAAGCCATCAAGTAAGCAACTTTATGGCTTAAGACATGGAACAAGCTTAGGATCTGGGTTTGTAGCTTCTGGATCGGGTGAATAAGCACTTAATGAGACTTTTGGCTTAACAGGGTTGTACGCTGGGCGTACAAGGAGGTACGCGCCGCGTACAAGCCAGCAGCCAGTACGCTAAGCGTACCTTGGTGTACGCCTCGCGTACGCTACCAACTTGGACTTTGAGCACTTGGGCCTCGGAGTGGGCTGTGTTTTGGACTTAGGGTATTTGGGCCTTAGGAGTCATCAGAAGTCAGCAAATATGGGCCTTACAAAGGTGTTGGGCCTAGGGTAAGGCCCAATAGAGAGATTTGGGCTCAATGTAGAAATTAGGGCCATTAGTGGCCTTTAGTGGGCCATTGGAGGTCTTAGAAGGAATTAAGCGTTTGGGGCCATGTTTGTGACCCACACCATAGCAGGGGTAAAATGGTCATTTTACCCTGGGATTAGTTATCAGTATTTGATTTAGTGTTTATGGGATTTGTAGCCGGGAGTTCCGGAGCAGCAGTCAGACAGTCTCAGTTTTAGCACTCCAGCAGCCAACATTACGAGGTGAGTTTCCTTCCAGTAGGAACGGGTCTACGGCCACAATGTCGGCCCGTTTAGTTGGCAGTAGTTCCGGGCCTTGGTCTGATGCAATAGTATATATATGCTTGATGTCTTCGTGATTCATGCATGTTTTGTTATGAGTAGTAGGTCGGGCACGCCCGATACAGAATGTGATTATGTTATACGTTCATGATATGGTATACCAAATTATTCCGGACTTCGGTCTGATGCCGGGCGGGGCCCGATGTAGTGGGCGGGGCCCAAATTATTCCGGACTACGGTCTGATGCTGGGCGGGGCCCGATGTAGTGGGCGGGGCCCAAGTTATTCCAGACTTTGGTCTGATGCCGGGCGGGGCCCGATGTAGTGGGCGGGGCCCAGTATGTGTTATATGTATTATGGTATGATATGTGGTAGTTTGGGGGAGCTCACTAAGCTTTGTTCTTACAGTTTCAGTTTTGGTTTCAGGTACTTCCGCAAGTAAAGGGAAGAGCTCGGGATGATGGCATCGCACACACCACAGTTTCAGCTTTATTCCTGGGAGTCTTGTTCGGATACTTAGACATGATTTGATACAGTTTTGATATGACATTTTTATTATGTATTTTGGGATACCCGACGTATGGTTTTTATTATATGACATTCAGTGTTATGACTTTTATTATATGTAAAAACAAAAATTTTTGGGTCGTATTTTTGGGATGTTTCAAGTTGGTATCAGAGCCTTGGTTTGAGGGATTCAGGCACACTCTCGGGTGTGACTGGACTCAAACTGAGGAAATGGTAGAAAGATTTCCAAAAGTATTTTCAAAAAGATTTCGAAAAGAAAAACCTAAAAAGAGAAAGAGTTTTGAGAAAAGGAAAAGGGTGTGGTGCATGCGATCAGCCGAGCTCAAGTAAGTACTCCCAAATTACCCATACAAGTTTATGTTATGATTATCGGTTTCAGTTTCACTAGAACGACATGCTAGAATAGGACTGAGGATCTATGAGGATGCCTTATGTGACTGTTATATGTGTTTCAGCTTTATGAGAATTGCATGCTAGTTTTGAGTAGACAGCAGTGGGATAGCCTGTTTAGGTTATGCCTGATAGTATGAGCTTAGCATTGTATGCCAGTACAGTTCCTTGTTAGGGGGATAGAATTGCTTGAGTAGTTTCCTGTGTCTGAATGCTGCTTGCTATGTGCTTTGTGGGGCTCTGAGTGATGTGAGTTGGCCATTAGGTGAATACGTCGCATCACATGTGAACATGGTTGAATAATCTCAGAGTGCTAGATTTGGCCCTATTGCGCAGCTCTTGTATGAGTCTAACCGTTGTGGGGACGGGCCTTTTACTCGAAGGATTATCTGAGCCTCGCCACAAGTGATGGTATTCAGGTGATGGCTAATTGGCATTACAAGGGGGCCTTCAGCAGCTGAGGACTGGATTGGGTGGAGTCAGAGAATTCCTTAGGGAAAGCCTAGGATGAGAACAGCAGAGATCAGTAGCAGTAGAAGTGACTTGGTGGAGTCGAGGCAGTACTTGAGGAATGTACGGATAGATGTGGAAAGTAGTATGGGCCCGTACTACTGAAAGAAGAGGATCCGTACTTGAACCAAGGAAAGCTGAGATGAGATTAGGAAACTTGCGATAGTAGCGATCCCTCGAAATATATCAGTGTTTCTGACGTTTGTCGTGATGTGTTTTCAGAATGGTGGTTTTACGCCCTAGACCAGCAGTCGGCAGTTCAGGTGCCGGAGAGGGATCAAGACCAGTCCCGGAGGCCGGGCAGTTGGACGAGCAGACTAGGGAGTTTCTCTCATCAGAGATTACTCGCATCATACTTGAGCAGACTCCTGTGATCTTTGGTTCGATCAAGGAGGGTATTATAGAGCTGATGGACGAGAGGTTGGGCACTTTCCGTGTTGAGGTGGCGGCTATGATGGGGTCGCACACACTCACCTTCAGGGAGTTCCGGGCTTGTGGAGCTCCAGATTACCATGGGGCGCGAGACCCCATTGCGAGTACCAGGTGGTTGGCGGATGTCGCCAATGCATTCTGCACCAGCAGATGTCCCGAGGGGGACAAGGTCAGACTAGCATCCTGTCTTTTGAAGGACAGGGCACGAGATTGGTGGGAGGAGATTGGGCATGTTATCGGAGATGACGCAGCTATTGATGCGATGACCTGGGCTGATTTTTCTACCAGGTTCAGGGCCGAGTTTGCACCGGTTATCGAGGTGCATCAGTTAGCCAGGGAGTTTCAGGATCTCACCCAAACTACAGACACAGTGGCGGAGATTACCGCCAAGTTCAGAGTTAGGGTTCTTCTCGTTCCTCAGTACGCAGCTGATGAGGAAATGAAGAAGGCCCGTTATCATGAGATGTTGCGGAGTGATATCCGCCAGTTTGTAAGCCGATCCAGCTGTAAAACGCTGGATGACATGATTGCTAGGGCTCGTGAGAGAGAGATTGATCTAGAGATGGAGAAGAAGAGAAAGCCAGAGGCAGTATCTGGCACTGGGAGTTCGGGCAAAAAGCCCAAGGTGTCGGATCATAGGTCCAGG